CAGAACAGAAGCAAGACCTCCCAGGATTAAGTGGCTGTTATTCCCAGAAGGGAGAGCAGAAGAGATAGTCTCCTCAATCACTCTCTGCTTGTAATGAAGCAGAAATCGTGCATAGAAATTTGTATCCTGGATTCTACTGCCAACTTCTTAGTTCTAGATTCAGAACTCCTATATTGTCAATTTTTTTCTGCTGAGAATCTCTCTTAAGTGCCTATAGCCCAAAGAGAAAAAATGCATGAGAGCGGTACCTCTTTGGGGAGCAAGGGTAGGAGCAGACTGTGGGAACTGTGAAAAAGCAGTTGTGGAGAATGGAGAACAAATTTACCGGGAAATTGTAGTATGATTGTCAGACAGTGCTGACGTAGGTGCTGTAAACTGTATGTTTGGGTCCCACCAAAATTCATATTGAAACCTAGTCCCCAAACAAACAAAAAAGAAAAAATTTTTTAAAAAGAAAGAAAAGAAACCTAATCGCCAGTATGATGGTATTTGGGGGTGGGGCCTTTGGGAAGTGAGTGGATCATAAAGGCAGAGCCTTTATGAATGAGATTGTGGTTTAGTTGCTAAGTCACATCTGACTCTTTTGTGACCCCATGGACTGTAACACACCAGGCTCCTCTGTCCATCCAGGCAAGAATACTGGAGTGGGTTGCCATTTCCTTCTCCAGGGGATCTTCCCAGCCCAGGGATTGAACTCATGTCTCCTGCATTGGCAGGCAGATTCTTTAATGAACCACATGAGGGAAGCCCATGAATGAGATTGGCGCCCTTGTAAAAGAGCCTTCAGAGAGCCCCTTCCTTCATGTGAGGGCACAGCCAGTAGACAGCTGTCTATAAACCAAAAAGCAAGGTTCACCAGACGTTGAATCTGTTAGCATCTTGATCTTCAACTTCCTAACCTTGAGAACTGTGAAAAATAAATTTCTTGCTTAAGCAAGACACCCTACAGCAGTTTTTTGTATAGTGGCCCAGATGGACTAAGACAGTAGGTAATCACGAATGTAAAGTAGATCCAATTTGTCTTATATGACTTTTTCTCTAGCAGTATTTGGCTGCCTGGGTACAAACGGGGAAAAACTGGATTGTTGTTTCATAACGGAATGGAAAATTGCTTTGAATTTTCTATGTAAGGTAGAAAATGCAGATAAAGAACAGTTCAGGACACTGATAAGAATGTTACTACTAGTAACATGATATATTGTAGAATCTCAGCTGGATACTAAGAGATAGGAAGAAAGGCTCATGTATTGAGAGAAAGTAGATGAGAGAGAGCTGAAGGGGTTGCACCCACTTAGGTCAAAGAGTGGTAGGAGGAATAGTTAAAGTAATACCAATATGTGTTTATCTGTATACACAAATAGAAAATATACACAGTCCTTTACTAGGATAACCCCTGCACTTATAAAGAAACATTCTTACTCAAAAGGACATATATGAAATGACAGAGACATGATACAGTTTATTTCAATGTACTAAGGCAAAAAAATTAACAAAACATTTCTTTGGAAAAAATCAAATTGTATATATGCAGTGTTGGCTTGATTTCACTGTAATGTAAAATACATTAAAAATATTTGAGTATACCACATTCAATAAAGCTTTCTATGTACATAGTAGATACTTGCTTTGCTAAATGACCAGACATTTGGAAAAATCAAAACACAGTTGTAAAACAGAGTCAAATATATAAGTTAAGATTCTTGTACACTTAGAAAAAGACTGAATTGTTATATTTTTACCTGTATAAAAAAAAACTCTTTAGTCTTTCATTTTCACCTGTATTTTCTTTAATAGAAGTAAGCCTCAAATTTGAAGGCTTAAATTCTTTCATCCTAATGCCTTGGGACTCAGATTTTCCTTTGAACCTGTAGCTGTCTAAAAAAGGAGCAGACCATTTTTTTTCTAGGAGCAGACCATTTAAAAGAAGGAAAAATAAAGATATCCAGATTTCCAATCTGTGCCACTCATGTAGATTATGAAGAGTTCCTGAGTTGGTTACCCATTCACTCATCTTAGTTCAAAAACATAATAGCTGGTTACAGGATTAAACTGGCATTCTTGCAGCCCATCAGCTTTCTTAATCACCGAAAATTATTGACATGTGGCCCTTAGCTTAATCTGAATAACTGTAATTTAGGAATTCTATGACATGATGTTAGCATATTTACAAGTAAAATGCAAAATTCTGAATATTAAAGAATTTATTTTTTAAATATACAAGATGCTGTGTTTTCCATGAACAAATTAAAATCAAAATGGCAAAAGAAGCTGAAATATCTGAATGTTTCAAAATGAGTGAACTGAAAATTTTCATATATAAAAACATGACTGAGGTAAGCTTAAATTATAAGAATAATTGTTTATTTTATTTTCGTCTGTAACTGAACAGCAAAACAGCCCTGTCTGAAAGCACTGGAGCAAACAGTCTTCCTGAGTCCTTTCAAGTCATGATTCTACATACTACAATGAAACATTTTTAATAAATGCAATTTGTCACTGAATGACTAGTTTTTACATTCTTAAATAATAAACTTAACTTTAACTACTATAGCAATGATTTAAATACATGTGCTGTTAAAACAAAAAAGTTATAAACATGTTCTGAATTATTTCCTTTGCTTGTGAGATAATATTGAAAAGAGATTCTACAAGTTCTTGACTCCCTAAGAACTAAGAACCAAAATACTAAACATAATAAATAAATATGAAACCTGGAAGCTCAGAAAAGAGGATAGAGTACTGAATATAATAAACCAGTGTATTACAAAATCCAGTATTTCAGTATTAAGACTTCATCTCAATACAGTTAGGTTTATTGCTACGATAAATAAGCTTCATATTAAGGCACCTGTCATTACCTATGAGAAAGATGTGGATTCAAAACAAAGGCAATATGCAATATAAAACGTTTTTCTTTTATTCTCATGTCAATAGTGATATATTATCAACTTCAAATGTAAGTTTTTGTATTGGCAGTAGATGAACATCTTTGAATATATTACCTGAATATAGTTATAATGTTTATGATACAATAATTAATGTATGTGATATCTTAATTAAACTATGTGATACTTTAGTGGGAAAATAGGCAAAATCAAGTCAAGATGGATAGGAAGGACTAAATATTAGAAACATGGTAACTTCTAAGGAAAAAAACCATATATTGTAGTGACAGTGACTATGAGCAGATCTTGGCCAAGCCATTGAATCTGACTGAGCCTCACCCTCTCTCTGTATAAAATTTCAATACTGCCTGCTCTATCAAACTCATAAGGCTGTTTTGAGATAAAATGAGGTGATATAAAATCACTCAGCAAACTCTGAATCCTTGAACAATTATATGGTATTATGATAGGCCAAAATAGCTCAAGTTTCTGATATGCTCTCTAACATAAAGTCATGGCCTGTTCCTTTTGCATCCACTTGAAAACTCCCTGTTTTAATGCATTAGGTAGTTGTGGACTGAATGGAGGAAAAAGTTAGGCAAAGAGAAAATCTCTAATCCTTCTTAAGCAGAATTGTACACAACAGTTTGCTGTGAGCGGGAAAACCCACTGCTTGCTTAGGCTCAGGCTACCTCTTGACACTTCCCTCCCACATAGGAGCAGACTTCTCAGAGACCTTGGAGGCTGGCCTTTCCTCCGTCTCCCCAGGGACACCATCTGCTATCATATGACAGGCATAGTTCAAGAAAAGAACTGAATCTCAAAACAGCATAAGAGAGTTTTAGGAGTATAAGAAATATAGCTGCGGTCAATCACAGGGACACCTCTCAGCTTGGCACAAAGTTGAAATGGCTCAATAATCCCCACCAGGTCCTCCCTTGCTTGGTCCACAAGCCCTTCTTCCATGTAGAAAATACTTCTGGGCCAGCTTCTTCCAAACTATGTTCTGAGGAACATTAGGTGAGATGTTAACAGGTGAAAAACAGATCTTTATTAAGTAGGTCTGGAATATGCAGTGGGGCCTACGTTGATGTACTGCAGAATTTCTCAGTATTTGATGTATCAACTATACATTCCAGAGAGGAATGGAGCATACAACATATCCCAAACTCATTTGACCACAGAATCTTTTTTCTTCCTCCCCACAAAATATCTAGACAGGCTAACAGCTCTTATAATACTATTTGGGAAATAATATTCTAGCTAATCCACCCTGGTCTTAAACATTTCAGGGCAACATCTGGCTAAAATGATCCTTTTAATTTCTGAAGGAGCAGAATAATTTTGCTTACAAGGTCAACTATCATGATAACCTCAAGGATTCCACCCCATAAGTTTTCTCCCCAAAGCAGCTAAGAACCAAATTTCCTTAACTATAACGCTGAGAAATTCAAAGAAGTTATTCTCATGTTAATGAGAAGTACAATCTTTTTGAGGAAATATTTACATTCTTCTAAAACATTAAGAACACAAAGATCTAATTCTAGATCTTAGGACCTAGAATCACAGTTACTTTGAGGAGATAGAGAACTTTATCACATCACTGCAATTAACACTATTAATCACAATAATAATAACAGGAGAGGGAGAAGGGGGAGAGAAAGAGGAGGAGGCTGCAACAGCAGTATTGGCTGAGACTCTATGTTGCATCTCAATCCTCATACACACTCTGAATTTAGGACCTGCTATCACATTCACTTTAGGGTTTACATTCATCTGAGGTTTAGACAGATTAACTGACTTTCCAAGGGTCACACAAAGTAGGACAGAATCTCAAATTCTATCTGACCCCCCACCCCATGCTCTTAACAACTACAGAATGCCATCTTATATTTTAGGGGTGAAACAAAAGCATCTGAAGGTCGTACTCTGAATGACAAACAGGAAAATTAAAGCATATTTCTATAAATTCAACTTGATTGATATTTGGTTTCAGATTTCCTTTTGAGCAAACTCCTAAGCCCTAAAGGAGATATTTTAGGTTTGTGTTTTGTTTTTAAGCAGAGAAAAATAGGCTGCCATTTACCAATGATGAGTTTAGATATGGGGAGGGTTTTAAAAATCTGCATCTAAGGTGAAGACATTATCTGTAGTTTCTGCCATAACTGCAAAACGCTGATACTCTGAAACTCGTTTCTCAAAGAAATTTGTTTTCCCCTCTAAGGAAATGTTTTCCATAAAATCAAAGGGATTTTCTGCTTGAAAAACCTGAAAAGAAGAGAAATATTGTTAGACATTCTGAAGAAGCAAATTGCATCACATAAGAAGAGCAACAGATACCTTGGGTCTCCCAACACCACGTATCATCACCTGGAGATCACATATTCTCTAGGGTCCTAGAGGCAGTCAAGACCGATACATTTTTTTATTTTTATTTTTTTTATTTTTACTAGTTGGAGGCTAATTACTTTACAGTATTGTAGTGGTTTTTGTCATACATTGACATGAATCAGCCATGGATTTACATGTATTCCCCATCCCAATCCCCCCTCCCGCCTCCCTCTCCACCCGATTCCTCTGGGTCTTCCCAGTGCATCCATCAGGCACGAGCACTTAAGACTGATACATTTTAAGATGACTAAGATCGCCTACTAGCCTCTTAAAGGAACTAAACTAGCAACTCTGGTATTCTCAGAAAATGAAAGAAAAAATAAAAGATTATTGCAGGAAATAGAAGATTTAATACCAAACTAAAATGTTTTCACAGCTTGAGAACTCTAAAACACCAAAGATATTATAGGCATTTTTCATAGGTATTACTATTATGCGAAGAGCCAACTCATTAGAAAAGACCCTGGAGCTGGAAAAGAGTGAGGGCGGAAGGAGAAGGGGGCGACAGAGAATGCGGTGGTTGGATGGCATCACTGAATCAATGGACATGGGTTTAAGCAAACTTCAAGAGATAATGAAGGACGTGGAAGCCTGGCATGTGGCAGTTCGTGGGGTCCAAAGAGTTGGACACGACTTAGTGACCAAACAACAACCACTAGGCTGGCACATCTACATGATACTATAAAATACTATGTTACCAACAGTGTACTGTGGACCTAAATATGTTTCTTAGTTCACAGGAGACATGTAATCTTCAAATGGCTGTTAAGGAACCATGATCAGGGAAGACAGACTAAATGCTATCATAACCCCAAACAAAAAATGGAACACATGTTGACAAGAAGCTTTTTCACTGCTTCTGAATTCAAGAAGCAGGCTTGGAGATACAGCTTGATGGAAACTGAGATATATTGATGATTCATGAGGAACAATAAAAGAGAATTCTTTAAATTTGGACTATTCAGGCAGTAATTATGAATACCACAGAAAACAACATATTCAAATAACCCAATTAAAATGAGCAAAGGATCTGAATGGATAAATGCTCTAAAGAACATCTACAAAAGGTCAATAAGTATATGAAAAGATGCTCAAAATCATTATCCATTAGGGAGATGCAAATCAAGACCACAATAAGATACCATTTCACACCACATCACACTAGGATGGCTATTGAGGCTTCCCTGAAGGCTCATATGGTAAAGAATCTGCCTGCAATGCAGGAGACCCGGGTTCAATCCCGGGGCTGGGAAGATCCCCTGGAGAAGGAAATGGCAACCCACTCCAGTAATCTTGCCTGGGACATCTCATGGACAGAGAAGCCTGGCAGGTTATGGTCCATGGGTCGCAAAGAGTTGGACATGACTTATCGACTAAGCACACAGGATGGCTGTAGGTGTGTAAAAGACAACTTATTGTGGTCATCACTTCATGATGTATGGAAGTAATATCATTATGTTGTATACCTTTAACTTAAACAACACTATATGTCAATTATATTTCAACAAAACTGGAAGGAAAAAAAAGATAATAAGTGTTAGTGAGGATGTGGAGAAATTGGAACCCTCATATACTGCTGGTATTAATATAAAATAATGCAGTCTGGTAGTTCCTCTAATGATTAAAGATAGAGTCACTATATGACTCAACAGTTTCACTTCTAGTTATATATCAAGATAAATGAAAACATATTTTCCCACAAAGACTTATACGAGAATGTTAATAGCAGCATTATTCATAATAGCCAAAAAATGCCACCCAAATGCCACCATCAACCAATAAATGGATAAACAAAATTAGGTATATCATACAATGCAATATTATTTGGCCAAAATAAGGAAAAAAATACTGATACATGCCTACATGAATGAAACTTTAAAACATCACACTGACTTTGTATATACCATATACCAGTAATACAGTACATACTATATATTGTATGATTCTATTTATATGAAGTGGGGATTACAGAACAGGCAGATCTAAAGAGACAAAAACTATGGAGAAGGAAATGGCAACCCACTCCAGTACTCTTGCCTAGAAAATCCCATGGAAGGAGGAGCCTGGTGCAGGCTACTGTCCATGGGGTCGCAAAGAGTCGGACACGACTGAGCGACTCTTCTTCTATCCTCATTCAGGTCACTTAAAATGGTGACCAGAGCTATGCAGGAAGCAAAATAGAGCATGTTGTCTTGAACTTTGAAAAAAATAAAGAGACAAAAACTAGATTAGTAACGCCTAGGCTATGATGGGGGCTTCCCTGGTGGCTCAAGGGTAAAGAGTCTGTCTGCAAGGCAGGAGACTGGGGTTCGATCCCTGGGTTGGGAAGATCCCCTGGAGGAGGGCATAACAACCCCCTCCAGTATCTTGCCTAGAGAATCCCGTGGACAGAGGAGCCAGGCAGGCTGCCGTCCACAGGGTCACACAGAGTCGGACACGACTGACGCTGCAATTAAGCAGCAACAGCAGGGATATGCGGGGTGGAAGAAACAAAGGTAAGTGACTGACTGCTAACTGGGAATAGAATTTTTTGTGGAGTGATAAAAATGCTCTCAAATAGATTGTGACAGTTGCACAACTCTGCAAATATACTAAAGCCCACTGAATTGTACATTTATTAATAGGTATATTGCATGTTCTGTAATTTATATCTTAATAAAGCTATGTGTATTTTTTTCCCATAAAAAAAGACATGGTGGGCGTGGTTGATGTAGTGGAACTCTGTGAAACTATGTCAGAAATAGTATTAAAAGGCAGTAAAAATGTGAGTGTTCACTCATGGCAGGATACAGTGGAAAGCGCACTGGACAGTAGGCATAGATTCACTAGATTTTAAAACTGAGTATCTTCCAAATCAGTCATGGCATGAATAGAATGACTAAGACCAGCCTAAATCAAGTAGCTTGATTTTGACACACAGAAGTACTTGAATATTTGCTGACTAATCCAAAACTAAGTTGAAAACAACATTAATGTTGCTTCTATTTGGAATTTTGTATAAGTGACAACCACTTGCTGATTTAAATAATCTCTTATTTTACTGAAACGTGTTGGTCCCTCAGTTGTATCCAGCTCTTTGAGACCCCATGGACGGTAGCCCACCAGGCTCCTCTGTCCATGGAATTCTCAAGCAAGAATACTGGAGTGGGTTGCCATTCCCTTCTCCAGGGGATCTTCCCAACCCAAGGCTCGAACCCAGGTCTCCCACATCACAGGCATATTCTTTACTGTCTGAGCCACCAGGGAAATCCAAAAACTATCGTTATAAGAATAATTCCTTTTCTAGCTCCTTGAGTTCAAAGTTTTTTAGCTCATGTATTTTAAGTTGTTTTGCTTTCTTAATATATGCCTTCAATGATAGAAATTTTCCTCTGGGGATCTGTTTGATTGCATTCTACAAATTGTGATATACAGTAATCTTATTGTCATTTAGTTTATATTTTCATTTTTAATCTCATGTTAAAGACATAGTTTTGACTTCTAAGTAGATGGAACTTTCTGGTAATCTTTTATTATTAATTTCTAATTTTATTGCATTAAAATATAATAGTCAGTATAATTTCCACTTTTTGGAATTTACTGAGATAGTTTGAAGGCCTGTGGAGAGCTGAGATTTTGTGCTGTGTCCAAATTTTCTCCTTAGGAGGCATACTTTGTATATTTACAATTAGCAAATTTTCCAAGGAAAACTAGATCCACAGGTCTGTAATTTTCCAATAAGTAGACGGTGGATGTGTGGGTGTAAAGATATGGTGGTGGGTTAAAACACAGTGAGTTTATTTTAAGGCTTAAGTAAGCAAATTAATTTTATTATGATAAACATGTAACTTAGAAACAAAAACAATTTATTTTAATACACAATTCATAAATTTCAGAGGTCATATTAATATAATTAAAATCTTTATTTATCTCATTAATGATCAACAAAGAGAGGATCTTGCAACTAAAACAATAGTGATATTTTACAATTTATAGTTTCCAAAAACCTTTGTCCCATCTGATTCTCATCACAATATTTGTACAGTTACCAGAAAATAAGGGCTTTACCAAGAGAGTTAATGATTACCTGCAAGCATCATGGATTTTATAAGGCTTCTCAATAATTTAAACTTCCATTTCCATGAGAAATCAGAACCTAACATTTCTAATTAACAGTATAATATTAACACACAGTAAATTGTGATGAATGTTACCCTTACAATGTCTACAGCGTGACCATCTGGTGTTCACTTACTGTATGTCTGATGCTATTTTAAGTGCATTAGGTGTACCAGCTCATCAGCAATGACATGTGCTGCGTGTGTCCTCAGTCGTGTCCGACTCTTTGAGACCCCATGGACTGTAGCCCACCGGGCTCCTCTGTCCACCGTATTCTCCAGGCAGGAATACTGGAGTGGGTTGCCCTTTCCTTCTCCAATAATCTGTGGTAAGGATTATTACTATTATCTTCATTTTACAGATAAGGAAACTGAGACAGTGGTTAAGCAATTTGCCTAAGGTCACATTGCTAGAAAGTGGTGGAATCAGGATTCAAACCCAGGTAGTCTGGCTGCAGCCCCCATCTCACATGAAAAACACACATAAAATTCACGTACATTATCTCTGATAAACAAAATGACAGAAATAACTTAAAGACAACTGAACTCAAAGAGTCAAATTATGACAGCTAATGTCTTCCTAATAATGATTTCCTATTTAAAAGTACTAACCCTCGAGAGGAGCCAAGATGGCGGAGGAATAGGACGGGGAGACCACTTTCTCTCCTACAAATTCATCAAAAGAATAACTGAACGCAGAGCAAACTTCACAAAACAACTTCTGATTGCTAGCTGAGGTCATCAGGGGCTCAGAAAAGCAACCCATTGTCTTGGAAAGGA